TCCAAAGTGGAGCCGAGTGCAGGATTTTCCAAGAAAAATTGACTTATTCCTGTTTGCATACAAGTTCATGTTAAAACATTGTGTTGAAATTGAATTTTTTCTTAAATTTCAGATTGTTCATAATATTATAATATTATAATAAGAAAGAGTTCATCAATTAAAAAAGATGTCTGTGATAGATTTGCGTTTCTCTGCACAAATATTTGAACTTATTGTTATTTTTGGGGTTTATATGACATGAGTTTTCTGATCCGGCCCCTTTGGGATCAAAGTAGGTTGGATACGGCCCCCGGACCAAAATGAGTTTGACACCCCTGCCCTAGACGCACGTCCTCATAGACTTTACACATGAACTGAACGCTTTGACGCTGCGGTCTGAACGGAGCTTTAGTGACAAGGGGAGGAGCTCAGTCACATGGGAGGAGTTGGAGTCGAGCCGCTGCTCCTCCATGCCGACATCCCACCGGGAGGAGGCCCCAGGAAAGAGCCAGGACACGCTGGAGGGACTGTGTCACTGTGGACTGAGAACACCTCAGGATCCCCCCAGATGAGCTGCAGGAAGTGTCTGGGGAGGAGGAAGTCTAGTCAGCTCTACTACCACCACTACTACTACTACCTTTACCACCATTACTACTACTACTACCACCCCCTACTACCATTATTATTACTACTGCTGCTGCATACATTTGAGTGACAGGTTTACTTTGTTATATTCTTTTCTTCCTCTTCTGTTTTTTTCTGGTTTGATCCATGAACTCTTTTTAATTAAATTTGTCACTAATTAAATGTCAGACGCGCCTCACATCACATGACCACGAGAGGAGGAAATGTCAGCACCAAGAATAGACCTGTGTGTCAGATGCCCTCCCATCCCCCTCCTCCCGTGTCCCTGTGTGTCAGATGCCCTCCCGTCCCACACTCTCTTCAACAAACATCATAATTAGCCTTGTTCCACAATAAATGTGATGAGTCAGATGTGTGGAAAGATGAGCCTCCTCATTCTATATTATAAAATGTGATTCTTGTGAGCTTTAAGTCATGTTATAATGTTGTTTCCTCATCAAAAACAGACCTGGAGTTGTGTTTTGTTTCATTTACATGCTTTTTTAGAGCTGCTCAATTATGGAAAAAATCATTATCACGATTATTTTTGGCAAATATTGAAATCACGATGATTCAAATTATTATTTTTTACTTACATGATGCATTTATTCAGCATTTTTCTCTCAAAAAACAAAACAAAACACTTTGCTATTGATAATTTATGCAAATTGGAAATAAATATAGGCTACAAATATGTTGCCTAATATTTATTTTATTTCTATAAAAAATATCCCAAAATAAACTTTGTTAAGCTTTAAATCCTTTCAACTTGATTATATGAGTTTGGAAATCATTTGACACACAAATCGAAATCACGAAATCAATCAATCAGTCAATCAATTGCACAGACTTATCCTTTATTATTAGTCTGTTTACATCTCCAAACCTCAAAACACTCTGTTCCACCTTGTAAACGTGAAAACTACAGCTTTGTGACATCACATCTCCTTCTACCTTTAGCCCAGTACAGCTTGACAATTCCAGGTCTGAAATGATCCAAATGATTTTAGTGAAGGCGTGTGGAGTTTAAAAACACTGTGGAGCACTTCCTGTATCAACGCGTGACATCACAAGGTGGAACAGAGAACTCAGCTTAAAGGGTTTGTGTGTTAAACGTGTGAATGAAACAAAACAAAACACAACTCCGGGTCTGTTTGTGACGAGGAAACGACATTATTAAGAAGTACTTCATCTAAATATATAGTAGTAGTAGTTGTAGTAGTAGTAGTAGTAGTACTTTGGTGTATTTTTCACTCCTCTATACTGTTGTCCTGTGCTGTGTTGGATGTATGTTGCAGTGGTTATAACTCTTCCTCCGCCCACGCCTCTCCTCCTCCTCCTCCTCCTCCTCTCCCTCCGTCTCTCTCTCTCTCTCCACTCGCTGTCAGCCCCTCCTCTCTTCTCTTCTTTCTTCTTCTTCTTTTTTTTCTGGTCTCTTAATGACCACCGCTCTCTGTCCACCCTCTCCTCCGTCCTTCTTCCTCTCATACTTCCTCTCTCTCTCTCTCTCTCTCCTTTCATCTATCCCCCACTGACTGTCAACAAACGCACGCTCCTCTTTCTCCTCTTTCTCTATCTTTCTTTTCCCACTCTCCTCCTCTCTCTCTTTATCTCTCGCTCCTCTCTCATCCACCTTGCGATGTCTTCTCTTTTTCCGTAAGCTCGCTCTCACCCTTAGATGCGCAGATTCTCTCTCTCTCTTTCCTCTTTCTCTCTCCTCCTTACCTGTGCAGTGTCCCTTTCTCTCTCGCTCTATTCTCTCTTTTCCCATCTCCCTTCAATGTCTCTCTTTCTCTCTCTCCGATCGGTCCCCCTTACAAAAGTAGTGTCCCTCGCTCCTCTCTCTCTTTCCCCTCTTCCCCTCTCTCTCCCTTTCATATGCAGTGTCTCTCTTTCTCCTTCCTTTCTCTCTCCCCTCTTCCTCTCTCTCTCTCACACACACATCACACATACAGTCTCCCTCTTCCCCTCTCTCTCTCCTCTCTTTCTCTTTCACATGGTTTCCTCTCTCGCTTCTCCTCCCTCTCTCTTCCTCTTTCACATACAGTGTCCCTCTCTCGCTTCTCCTCCCTCTCACCCTCTCTAAACATACAGTACCCCTCTCTCTCCCCTCCTCCGCCTCTCTCCCCTTCACATACAGAATCCCCCTCTCTCTCTTCTCTCCTCCCTCTTTCACATACAGTGTCCTTCTCTCTCTCCCCCCCCCCCCCACACACATTGTATCCGTCTTCCCTCCTCTCTCTCCTCTCCTCTCTGTTTCTTTTTCACAAAGTTTCCTCTCTCTCTTCTCCTCCCTCTATCTTCCTGTCTGACAAAGTGTCCCTCTCTCCCTTCTCTTCTCCTCTCTTCTCCTCTCTCCCTCTTTCACATAACGTGTTCCCCTCTCTCTCCTTCCTCTCTCTCTCCTCTCTCTTCCTTTCTCACACACAGTATCCTTCTCTCCTCTCCTCCCTCTCCTCCCTCTTTCACTTACAGTGTCCCTTTTTCTCCTTTCTCCCCTTTTCTCTCCCCCTCCCCCTCTTTCTCTCCTCTATCCCACTCTCTCCTCTCTCTCTCTTCCTCTCACACACAGTGTCCCTCTCTCCTTTCTCCCCTCTCCTCTTTCTTTCACATACAGCGTCCCTCTTCCTCTCTCTCTCCTCTCCTCCCTCCCTCTCCTCCTCTCACATACAGTATCCCTCTCTCTCTCTCTTCTCCTCCCTCTCTCCATCCTCTCCCTCACTCTCTCTAACCCGTCTCATATGCAGTGTCACTCTCATGTCTCTCTCCTGTGTCCTCTCTCTCTTTCTCTCTTTCCTCCTTCTTTCTCTCCCCCACATACAGTGTCCCTCTTCCTCTCTCTCTCCTCTGTCCCCCTCTCTCCGTCCTCTCTCTCTTTCACATACAGTGTTCTCTCTCTCTCTCTCTCTCCCTCTCCCTCTCTCTCTGTTAGTCTTTCTTTCTTTCTTCAGGTCAGATCGACTCTGACTCTAACTCAGAAATCAACATGAAAATCAATACAGACCCAGAGTCTGACCCGCTCCACATAAACACACAAACACCAACTCCAACGGGAAAAATAAAAATAAATATAAAACTATTCTAACTATTCATCTGTGTTCTAATGAATTTTCCTCCTGGAGTTGTGTTTTGATTCATTCACACACACACTTTTGCTCTGCACATTTAGGCTGAGTTCTTCTCTCAAACAAAAAAACACACTGTACATTTTCACGATTCTTTAACTGTTTATTCCACGTAATAACTGACACTTCATGACATCACAAGGTGGAACAGAGCGTTTTGAGCTTCGGAGATGTAGACAGACTAATAATAAAGTGTGTGACTGAAACAAAACACAACTCCAGGTCTGATTTTGAGAACGTAAAACTTATTTTTACGAAGAAATTATCTGTTTAAAGCGTAATCGTCGACAAAAACGTTGATAGAAAAATACGAAATTGATTATTGTCGCTGCGTTTTTATCACAGATGCCCTCCCACAAATCATTTTTATCAGTTTTATGTCATGCCAAAATGTTTTCCTTTTCTTTTCTAATATTTTAACTCATTGCTTTAAAATGGTCTGGAATGTTCCGTAGTATGGCATTAAACGTATCTGTGTCTACGGAGGCGAGCAGGAAGCACGAATTACGGAGCAGATCTGTGGAGAGGCGGTCTCACTCACAGAAAGAATGATGGTGACAATCAATGTTTTAATGTTTTGTCAAGGTAATTTTGAACAATAAAACACCTGTAATCGAACTCAGTATATTAATGCCATGCTGTGGAACATTCCATGAAAAATAAATACATAGTGTACCTTTAATTATAACCATTTTTAGCCCTGAAGTCTTCATTTAAACTTGATAAAATCCTGGTTTAGTCCCGGTTTAGTCCTTACGCTCACGATTTAAAAAAAAAAAAAAAAAAAAAAAAAAAAAAAAAAAAGTGTATCCATGATTCACGTGCGTGCGTAAAGCCCCTACGCTGTGAGCCGGCAGCGTTACGCACGGGTGATGCTGCCAGAGCGCGCAGTGCCGCTGGACCAAACCAAAGCGCATCCACGTCTCCAAAAACGATCCAGAAGAAGACACAAACCGGAGACACTTTTACGCACGGGTTGGATTTATAATAACGTGATTTTATACTGGAGTAAGATGTCGTTTTTGGAGACGTTTGTGCGTAACGAAGAGGAGGAATTGCTTTTTTTGAGTACCAAGAAAGCAGCTTCACGAGTCTAATGCGTTTTTCTTGTTTTGGAACAGTTTGGGAGATTAAAAGTAGCGGGAGAGGGAGATTTTGTTGGAGATGCGTATAGAAGGAAGAGCGCAGTAGCTTCCAAACGCGTTAACATGATGGAACCAAAACGCCGGACATGAAAAGTAACGGGATCTGAGCGTGCTTTTGCGGCACATGATGGACATTGCGGAGGTACTGGTTTGCGCATTCATGGTCGTAGTCATCGTAGTGAGTTTACTGTCCAACATTTTGGTTTTCGTTTGCTTTTTGTACAACCCGGAGATCCGCAAACAAGCGCCGGGACTTTTTACGCTCAACTTAACCTTTTGCAACGTGCTCCTCACCGTCTCCAACATGCCCCTGACGCTCGTGGGGGTCATGAGCGAAACGCAGCCGGGGGGCGACGCGCTGTGCCAAGCCGTGGGGTTCCTGGAGACGTTTCTGAGCACGAATTCTATGTTGAGCATGGCAGCGCTGAGCATCGACCGGTGGATCGCGGTGGTCTTCCCGTTACGGTATCACTCCAGAATGCGACACCGAGACGCGCTGCTCGTGCTCGGCTACACGTGGACCCACTCCGCGAGCTTCTCCGCGGCCGCCTCGTGCCTCTCGCTGGTCGGGTATCACCGGGTGTTCGCCTCGTGCACGTTGGTGAGCCCCAGGGCGCACGTCAGCGGCCGGTCGCAGCTGGTGGCGTTCACGGTGCTGTTCCACGCGTGCACGTTCCTGCTCTCGTGCGTGGTGCTGTGCGTGACGTACCTCAAAGTGCTGAAAGTGGCGCGGTTTCACTGCAAGAGGATCGACGTGATCACCATGCAGACGCTCGTGCTGCTCGTGGACATTCACCCCAGGTAAAGACCAGACTCGGGGTTTCACAGAGACTGGGACCTGGACTCGAGTCAGACTTGAGGCACTGTTTTTAGGAGTTGAGACTTGACTTGATAAAACTGACTAAGACTCGGGACTCGGCTTGGACTTGAGGCCTGTGACTTGATGCTTCTCTTAAAAATTTTTGAAATTTTAGTTTTTAGAAAATATTTTTATCTTTCCACTTGATAAATGCGGCGTTTCATTTTAAAAGAACAAACTGGAACATGTCCCTTTCACTTCTGTTTGTTACTTTGGATGTAACTGAAGTACTGTGATGTGGTATCCTCAAAAGTACTGCAGTAATACACAGTACAATACAGTATATAAAGTGCAATACAGTAATATACAGAGGTGGGACCAAGTAGTTGTTTTGCAAGTCTCAAGTAAGTCTCAAGTCTTTGACCTCAAGTCTGAGACAAGTCAAATACAGGCAAGTCCAAGTCAAATCCAAGGCGTCTGCTTTGAGCTTCAAGTCATTTTGACATTATGTAAGACATTAAACAGATCCACTTTACATTTAGTTTTAAAGATCAAAATACCTAGAAAGACAGACGTTCTGACTGTGAGCGGGGTCACCTCTCCACAGATCTGACCTGTAACTTGATCTGGTTTGGTCTCCACGACGACAAAGCAATAACGTCTCCATGGAGAAAAGCGTTGGACGGACCCTACATGAGAAAAGTTACACAATCGCTCCAGGTCACATCTGCAACAACAACTGTACTTTTAGAAAACGTTCTTATCGTGTCCAACATTGAATTTGTTTTATTTTATTTTTTTTACATTAAAAAAAAAAAAAAAAAAAGATCTATTGTGCTTTTGTCTTTTCTGTAGTTATAATCTATGACACTTCTGGATCTTTGTTATAACTTTAAATCACAATATTGATTGACTGAGGAGGGACCAAGTTGTTGTTTTGCGAGTCTCAAGTAAGTCTCAAGTCTTCGACCTCAAGTCTGAGTCAAGTCCCAAGTCAAATACAGGCAAGTCCAAGTCGAGTCTCAAGTCACTGGCCCAAAAGTCCAAGTCGTCTGCTTTGAGCTTCAAGTCATGTCAAGTCTGTCAAATATAGTTTATATTTTTGCAATTTATATAATTTTTAAACTAAATTGTTCTTAAAAAGTCATGGTATATTTATATATGAGTATTTATATAAAAGTATTTATATAAGAAATGCAATTTTTTTCTTTTTAAATGTCTTGTCAAGAGTGTGAATCATTACCATCAGAACAGAAAGAATTCAGATGTAAAAGTGTTAAATAACAGTTATTTTGTCATGTCGTCTGCACTGAAATGGAAGGATCATGTTCTGTGTAGTTTCCTCTGTTTTACTGTATTGTACTGTATATTACTGTAGTACTTTTGAGTATCATAGTTTCATCCAAAGTAACAAACAGAAGTGGGAGGGACATGTTCCAGTTTGTTAATGTAAAATTAGTCACTGCATTTATCAACTGTAAAGACAAAAGTATTTTATAAAAACATATTTTTTTAGGAGAAGCATCAAGTCTTCTCAAGGTGAAGGGCTCAAGTCCAAGTCGAGTCCCAAGTCTTAGTCCTTTTTATCAAGTCAAGTCTCAAGTCGAGTCCAAGTCATGACTTGCAAGTCCCACCTCTGGTACAATACAGTAAAACAGAAGGAACCACACAGAACATGATCCTTCCACCTCAGTGCAGACACATGACCAATAAAACTGATATTTAGCACTTTTACATCTGAATTCTTTCTGTTCTGACCATAATGATTCACACTAAGATCTTGACAAGACATTTAAAAAGAAAAAAAAAAAGCATTTCTTGTATAAATACTCATATATAAATATACTGTGACTTTCTAAGTACTGTTTAGTTTAAAAATATATAAATTGCAAAAACATAAACTATATTTGACAGACTTGACATGACTTGAAGCTCAAAGCAGACGACTTGGACTTGACTTGGAGTTATGGGCCAGTGACTTGAGACTCGAAGACTTGAGACTTACTTGAGACTTACAAAACAATATTATTACATTTACTCCAAGTTGACAAATATTGCTTGGTTTAGTCCTGGTTTAGTCCTGGTTTTGTCTTGGTTCGGTTTAGTCTGGTTTTGACTTACCTGATCTTAAAAAATAAATAAATAAATAAAATATTTGGGATACGATAAGAACGTTTTCTAAAAGTACAGTTGTTGTTGCAGATGTGACCTGGAACGACTGTGTAACTTTTCTCATGTAGGGTCCGTCAAATGCTTTTCTCCATGGAGACGTTATTGCTTTGTCGTCATGGAGACCAAACCAGACCAAGTTACAGGTCAGGTCTGTGGAGAGACGACCCCCGCTCACAGTCCGAATGTCTGTTTTTCTAGGTATTTTTGAGTTCTAAAACCACCTGTAATCGAGTAAATATAGTAAAATAGATCTGTTTAATGTCACACTGCGGAACATTCCAGGCAGAGCAATGACATCTCCATGGAAACAAGCAGGACTGAACCTTAGAAAGCAGGAAGGAAACGCAATGATAATGTAAAAAATGACAAGAATGAGATAAAGAGTAAAAGGTGGACTGGAGGCTGGTCCCCGAGGACAGAGATCTACTGAGGAAATGTAGAACTCAAATCTACGTGATAAGAAACAAAACTTCAAATTAAACATCGGCTCAAATACACTCCACAAATATTACAAAAATATTCCCCAAACCAGAGTCTCCGGAGGAACGAGGTCTCCAGAGGGCCCGGCACAATCCTCTGATCACAACATTAAAGTCTGTGAACACGACAGGAAAGACTGAGGGAATTTCACTCAGTTTTATAATCATTTTTACTCCTGATTTAGTCCTGGTTTAGTCCTGGTTTAGTTCTGGTTTAGTTCTGGGTTAGTTCTGGGTTAGTTCTGGTTTAGTTGTAGTTTAGACCTGGTTTAATCCTGGTTTAGTCCTGGTTTACTTCTGGTTTAGTTCTGGTTTAGTCTTGGTTTAGTTCTGGTTACCTCCGCCAAGGAGGTTATGTTTTTGCTGGCGTTTGTCTGTTTGTTTGTTTGTTTGTTTGTTTGTCTGTTAGCAACATAACTCAAAAAGTTATGGACCGATTTTGATGAAATTTTCAGGATTTGTTGGAAATGTAAAAAGGAAGAACTGATTTCATTTTGGGGGTGATCCGGAAGAAATCCTGGATTCTGGATCACTTTGAAATTTTAGTTAACATTGTGGTAAATGGGGCCAAAAAATTTTGTTTCTCAATATCTCAGTTAATTATTGACCAAACCCCATGAAATTTGACTCAGGGATGGACAACGGGATCCTCTTTCATATTCCAAAGGCTGATCTGGATCTGATCCAGAAGACTGATTTTATCGCAATTTATATAAAAAATGGGGGTAGTCCTTGGCGGAGGTCTGCGCTCTCTGACTGCTTTTCTAGTTTGGCACTGATTTAGTCCTGGTTTTGTTCTGGTTGGTCCTGGTTTAGTCCTGGTATAGTACTGGTTTAGTTCTAATTTAGCCCTGGTTTAGTTCTGGTTTAGATCTGATTTAGTTCTGGTTCAGTCTTGGTTTAGTCCTGGTTTAGTTCTGGGTTAGCTCTGATTTAGTTCTGGTTAAGTCTTGATTTAATCCTGATTTAGTCCTTGTTTTGTTCTGGTTTAGTTATGGGTTAGTTCTGGTTTAGTCTTTATTTAATCCTGATTTAGTTCTGGTTTTGTTCTGGTTTAGTCCTAGTTACCCCTTGATTTAATCCTGGTTCAGTCCTGGGTTAGTCCTGGTTTAGTCCTGGTATAGTACTGGTTTAGTTCTAGATTAGCCCTGGTTTAGTTCTGGTTTAGATCTGGTTTAGTCCTGGTGTAGTACTGGTTCAGTCTTGGTTTAGTCCTGGATTAGTCCCAGTTTAGTCCTGGTTTAGTTCTGAGTTAGTTCTGGTTTAATCCTGATTTAGTCCTGGTTTAGTTTTGGTTTAGTTCTGATTTAGTCCTAGTTTAACTCTTGGTTCATTCCGGGTTCAGTTCTGGTTTAGCTCTGGTTCACTCGTAGTTTAGTCCTGATTTAGTTCTGGTTTAGTCCTGGTTTAGTTCTGGGTTAGTCCTCTTTCAGTCCTGATTTAGTCCTGGTTTAATCTTGGTTTAGTTCTAGTTTAGTCCTGGTTCACCTCTGGTTATGTCCTTGTTTTGTCTTAGTTCGGTTTAGTCCGGTTTTGACCTGTCTGGTCTAATTTAAAAAAAAAAAAAAAAAAGTTTGTGTTTCTTGTGAATTTTACACAAGAAGTGGTTTAACAAAGACTTTTAGTGTCACAGTCATGAGTTAGTGGAAATCTCGGCTAGTCTTCCGTTCTCAAAATGGCATCGAAGGTGAAGAAGGAAGCTCCTCCTGCCAAGACTGAGGCCAAGTCAAAGGCTCTGAAGGCCAAAAAGGCTGAGCTCAAAGGTGTTCACCGCCAGACGAAGAGGAAAATCAGGACTTCTCCCACCTTCCGTCGCCCCAAAACTAGGGCCAGGTATCATTAAGAAGTTGTTGATAGACCACAGTAGAATACACTTTTCGATACAGTGCACTTTCGATTCAATATGAATTGATATGATATATTTCACATCAGTTTGATACGGTTCAATGTAAAAAAGGCTAAATCATGGCTGTGTTACTAAAAGTCCACTAAGTTTATGCAAAAGTTAATTTGAAAAACACAAATTTTACTCATCAAAACAGTGAAAATATCAACACTTTTGTAGCTTTTACTTGTATTCATTATTGACATCAAATCCAACAAACATCAGATTTAAAACTCCGTTAAGTTAGGTTTTATTTTTTATTGAAACATATCGAATCGATTTGAAATCGATTGAATCGTATCAAATCGAAAGCTCACTGTATCGAGTTATGTATGTATCACGGCCTAAGTATTGTGTCACGGCCTATGTAGTTATGTATCGTGTCATGGCCTATGTATCTTATGTATCGCCTATGTATCGAGTTACGTATCGTGTCATGGCCTATGTATCGAGTTATGTATCGAGTTATGTATCGTGTCACGGCCTATGTATCGAGTTATGTATCGTGTCACGGCCTATGTATCGAGTTATGTATCGTGTCACGGCCTATGTATCTATGTATCGAGTTATGTATCGTGTCACGGCCTATGTATCGAGTTATGTATCGCGTCATGGCCTATGTATCGAGTTATGTATCGTGTCACGGCCTATGTATCGAGTTATGTATCGTGTCACGGCCCTATGTATCGTGTCGCCTATGTCGAGTTATGTATCGTGTCACGGCCTATGTATCGAGTGTACTATGTATCGTGTCACGGCCTATGTATCGAGTTATGTATGTATCGTCGTATCACGGCCTATGTATCGAGTTATGTATCGTGTCACGGCCTAAGTATCGTGTCACGGCCTATGTATCGAGTTATGTATCGTTATGTATCACGGCCTATGTATCGAGTTATGTATCGTGTCATCGTGTCACGGCCTATGTATCGAGTTATGTATCGTGTCACGGCCTATGTATGTAACGGCCTATGTATCGAATTACGTATCGTGTCACGGCCTATGTATCGAATTATGTATCGTGTCACGGCCTAAGTAGGTATGTATCATATCAGCAACTTCTGAATGATACTCAGCCCTAGTAAAGGGTAAATATGTTGTAGTACTTTGTCAGTATTAAAGAGTAAATATGTTGTAGTACTCTGTCAGTAGTAAAGAGTAAATATGTTGTAGTACTCTGTCAGTAATAAAGAGTAAATATGTTGTAGTACTTCGTCAGTAGTACATGTGTTGTGTTTTTGTACAGTGTGCGTGAGCGATGTCTGGAGGAGCAGAGGAGGAGGAGACAAAGAGCCACCAACAAGATCAGCACCTTCATCGGGACCTTCATGATCTGTTTTACTCCATACGTCATCACCAGGTACTACAAATACTACTATTATTACTATTACTGCTACTACTACTACTGCTACTTAGGGCTGTAGTACTTTAGGCGTTAGTTGATTAATTGGCTGAAGGAGAAGAAAGTGGAGCCAGTTGAACACAACAAGAAACGCCTCACTCTTACCTCACTCTGTAGTGGTTTAGCTCCTGGTTTAGTCCTGGTTTAGACCTGGTTTAGTCCTGGTTTAGTCCTGGTTTAGTCCTGGTTTAGACCTGGTTTAGACCTGGTTTAGTCCTGGTTTAGTCCTGGTTTAGACCTGGTTTAGTCCTGGTTTAGTCCTGGTTTAGACCTCTTTTAGTCCTGATTTAGACCTAGATTTGCTCCTGGTGTAGTTCTGGTTTTTGTCCTGATTTTTGTCCTGGTTTCTGCCTAGTAGAATCCTGGTTTAGACCTGGTTTAGTCCTGGTTTAGACTTGGTATAGTCCTAGTTTCTCTCTGGTTTGGTCCTAATTTAGTCCTGGTTTAGTCCTGGTTTTTACCTGGTTTAGTCCTAATTTAGTCCTGGTTTAGTCGTGGTTCAGACCTGGTTTCTCCCTGGTTAAGGCCTTGTTTTACTCCTTGTTTAGCCCTGCTTTAGCCCTAGTTTAGTTCTGGTTTAGTCCTGGTTTCTCCCTGAGGTCTGGGTCTGTGGTCCTGGTCTGTGGTCCAGGTCTGTGGTCCAGGTCTGTGGTCCAGGTCATGTGGTCCTGGTCTGTGGTCCAGGTCTGTGGTCCAGGTCTGTGGTCCAGGTCTGTGGTCCTGGTCTGTGGTCCTGGTCTGTGGTCCTGGTCTGTGGTCCTGGTCTGTGGTCTGGTCTGTGGTCCTGGTCTGTGGTCCAGGTCTGTGGTCCTGGTCTGTGGTCCAGGTCTGTGGTCCTGGTCTGTGGTCAGGTCTATGGTCCTGGTCTGTGGTCTCCTCTAAGTCTGGGCTGAGTTAAAGGAGCTGACTCTGTGATAACCAACTCCTCCTGCTGTGACCTGACCTGGGCTCACAGCCAGAGAGAGACAGGAGCAGGGCGACAGGGGCAGGGCGACAGGGGCAGGGCGACAGGGGCAGGGTGACAGGGCAGGGTGACAGGGGCAGGGCGACAGGGGCAGGGCGACAGGGGCAGGGCGACAGGGGCAGGGGACAGAGAGCAGGGTGACAGGATCAGAGTGACAGGAGCAGAGTGACAGGGGCAGGGTGACAGGACCAAATATGTAATATTCAAGCTTGTTTAAAGGTGCACTATGAAACTTTTCTGGTGGAGGCTTTGCAAGTGTGTTGTTCCCGCTCATATATGGCAGAGTTTAGGTCCTGGTCTAGTCCTGGTTTAGTCCTGGTTTAGACCTGGTTTAGACCTGGTTTAGTCCTGGTTTAGACCTGGTTTAGACCTTGTTTAGTCCTGGTTTAGTCCTGGTTTAGACCTGGTTTAGACCTTGTTTAGTCCTGGTTTAGTCCTGGTTTAGACCTGGTTTAGACCTTGCTGACACCTGGTTTAGACCTTGTTTTGTCCTGGTTTAGTCCTGGTTTAGTACTGGCTTAGTCCTAGTTTAGTCCTGGTTTAGTCCTTGTTTCTCGCTGGTTTAGTCCTGGTTTAGACCTGGTTTAGACCTTGTTTAGTCCTGGTTTAGTCCTGGTTTAGACCTGGTTTAGACCTGGTTTAGACCTGGTTTAGGCCTTGTTTAGACCTGGTTTAGACCTTGTTTAGTCCTGGTTTAGACCTGGTTTAGACCTGGTTTAGGCCTTGTTTTGTCCTGGTTTAGTCCTGGTTTAGACCTTGTTTACACCTGGTTTAGTCCTGGTTTAGACCTTGTTTAGTCCTGGTTTAGTCCTGGTTTAGACCTGGTTTAGACCTTGTTTAGTCCTGGTTTAGACCTGGTTTAGACCTGGTTTAGGCCTTGTTTTAGTCCTGGTTTAGACCTTGTTTAGTCCTGGTTTAGTCCTGTTTTAGTCCTGGTTTAGTCCTGTTTTAGTCCTGGTTATAGTCCTGGTTTAGTCCTGGTTTAGTCCTGTTTTTAGTCCAGGTTTAGTCCTGTTTAGTTTAGTCCTGGTTTAGTCCTGGTTTAGTCCTGGTTTAGTCCTAGTTTTAGTCCTGGTATAGTTTAGTCCTGGTTTAGTCCTGGTTTAGTCCTGGTTTAGTCCTGGTTTAGTCCTGGTTTAGTCCTGTTTTAGTCCTGGTTTAGTCCTGGTTTAGTCCTGTTTTAGTCCAGGTTTAGTCCTGTTTAGTCCTGGTTTAGTCCTGGTTTAGTCCTGGTTTAGTCCTGGTTTAGTCCTGGTTTAGTCCTGGTTTAGTCCTGGTTTAGTCCTGGTTTAGTCCTGGTTTAGTCCTGGTTTAGTCCTGGTTTAGTCCTGGTTTAGTCCTGGTTTAGTCCTGGTATAGACCTTGTTTAGTCCTGGTTTAGTCCTGGTTTAGACCTGGTTTAGACCTTGTTTAGTCCTGGTTTAGTCCTGGTTTAGACCTGGTTTAGGTCCTTGTTTAGTCCTGGTTTAGACCTTGTTTAGTCCTGGTTTAGTCCTGGTTTAGTCCTGTTTTAGTCCTGGTATAGTCCTTGTTTAGTCCTGGTTTAGTCCTGTTTTAGTCCAGGTTTAGTCCTGGTTTAGTCCTGGTTTAGTCCGGGTTTAGTCCTGGTTTAGTCCTGTTTTAGTCCAGGTATAGACCTTGTTTAGTCCTGGTTTAGTCCTGGTTTAGTCCTGGTTTAGTCCTGGTTTAGTCCTGGTTTAGTCCTGGTTTAGTCCTGGTTTAGTCCTGGTTTAGTCCTGGTTTAGTCCGGGTTTAGTCCGGGTTAATCATGTGAAGTGGTTTTAAGAGGATTGTTTGGTTTATAAACACAGAGGAGGCGGAGGTGGTGGTTCAGGTTCAGGCTCAGGTGTCGTTCTGTGGATTATGGGACAGATTCATTCACTAATGACTCTGACTTTTATTTTCACGTTTATGGCCAATAAAGTCACAAATGATGGGATTATGTTTGTCCCAGAGAGCTGAGTACAGGCTGAGAGTGTTTTGTGTCGCAGGGACGGACAATATTGATGAAAAATTTTTATGTTTTTGAATAAACTCGCTAAAATGTTCCTGTAAATGTCTTGGTCATGATTCAAAAACTTTAACATTATTTTGTTTATTGGATTCTTATTGTTTACCTCTCCACAGATCTGACCTGTAAAACTGTCACCTACTTGTCTGTTGGCATGGTGATTCTTTTAAAGCATCACCTTGTAACTTTCTGCTCGCTTTTAATTTCCATGGAAACAAACCCGCCGCCGAGCTAGATAAGAGTCGGGTTTGTGGAGATGCAAAAGCACACGTTTTTCTAAATTTGAAATTAAAAAATATCTAATCTAAAAAAAAAAAAAAAAGTTTAATCCTGGTTTAGACCTGGTTTAGTCCTGGTTTTAGTCCTGGTTTAGACCTGGTTTAATCCTGGTTTAATCCTGGTTTAACCCTGGTTTAGTTCTGTTTAGTCTTGAATTAGTCCTGGTTTGACTTGTTCTTAGTCCGTACAGGCTGGCAGAGTTTAGGTCCTGGTTTAGTCCTAGTTCAGACCTGGTTTGGTCCTGATTTAGACTTAGTTTAAACTTGGTTTAGCCCTGGTTTTGACCTGGTTTAATCCTGATTTATTCCTGGTTTAGTCCTGGTTTAGACCTGTTTTCTCCCTGGTTTAGTCCTGGTTTAGACCTGTTTCTCCCTGGTTTAGACCTAGTTTAGTTCTGGTTTAGTCCTGGTTTAGTTCTGGTTTAGTCCTTGTTTAGACCTGGTTTATTCCTGGTTTAGGCTTGGTTAAACCTAGTTTAGTCCTGGTTTAGTTCTGGTTTATTTCTGGTTTAGTCCTGGTTTAGACCTGATGCAGACCTAGTTTAGACCTTGTTTGGTCCTGATTTAGATATGGTTTAGTCCTGGTTCAGACCTTGTTTAATCCTGGTTTAGTCCTGGATTAGGTCTGGTTTGACCTGGCTTTAGTCCATACAATCAGGCAAAGTTTAGACCTGGTTTGTTTTTGATTTAGTCTTGGTTTAGTCTTAGTTTAGACCTGGTTTAGTCCTGTCTCAGACCTTGTTTAATCCTGGTTTAGTCCTGGTTTATTCTTGAATTAGTCCTGGCCTTAGTCCATACAATCAAGCTTAGGTCCTGGTTTAGTCCTAATTTAGACCTGGTTTAGTCCTGTTTTAGTCTTGGTTTAGTCTTAGTTTAGACCTGGTTTAGTCCTGTTTTAGTCTTGGTTTAGTCTTAGTTTAGACCTGGTTTAGTCCTGTTTTAGTCTTGGTTTAGTCTTAGTTTAGACCTCGTTTAGTCCTGGTTTTAGTGGTTATATTTAGGTTTTGACCCCCCCATGCTCCCCCCCCTGTGCTGTTCCCAGGCTGGTGGAGCTGTTCCCGGCCGTGCACATCCCCCCTCTGTGGGCGCGGCTCTGTAAGCTGCTGGTCTACAGTAAAGCCGCCTGTGACCCGTTTGTTTACTCGCTGCTCCGGACCCAGTACAGACAGACCTGCGCCCGCCTCGCCAACCGCCTCCTCAAGCCCCGCCCCCTCCACGCTTCGCCCAGGACCGCCCATCACCACGGCAACCGGATACCCACAGCCGAGTAGAGACGGGAGCGTGGAGGAGTTTACGCCCGGGTCCGGTTCAATGGTGACTTTTATTTTCACGTTTATGGGCAGTGAAATCAAATCATCCTTGTCTTCCTTTTCATTCTTTCTCCCTTTTTCTTCTATCCCTCCATCCCGAACAACAAGCAGGAGGAGAGTCGGGTTTGTGGAGATGCGAGCTCACTCACAGCAAAGACGCATGTTTTTCAGAGCAATAAATCCTGGTTTAGACCTGGTCAAGACCTGGTTTAGACCTGGTTTAAACCTGGTTTAGTCCTGGTTTAGACCTGGTTTAGTCCTGGTGGTTTAGACCTTGTTTACACCTGGTTTAGTCCTGGTTTAGACCTGGTTTAGACCTTGTTTAGTCCTGGTTTTAGACCTGGTTTAGACCTGGTTTAGTCCTGGTTTAGACCTGGTTTAATCCTGGTTCAGACTTGTTTTAGTCCTGGTTTAGTCCTGGTTTAGACCTAGTTTAGATCTGGTTTAGACCTGGTTTAGACCTGGTTTAGTCCTGGTTTAGACCTGGTTTAGTCCTGGTTTAGACCTGGTTTAGTCCTGGTTTAGACCTGGTTTAATCCTGGTTCAGACTTGTTTTAGTCCTGGTTTAGTCCTGGTTTAGACCTAGTTTAGATCTGGTTTAGACCTGGTTTAGACCTGGTTTAGTCCTGGTTTAGACCTGGTTTAGTCCTGGTTTAGACTGGTTTAGTCCTGGTTTAGACCTTGTTTAATCCTGGTTTAGACCTGGTTTAGTCCTTGTTTAGACCTGGTTTAGTCCTGGTTTAATCCTGGTTTCAGACTTGTTTAGACCTGGTTTAGTCCTGGTTTAGACCTGGTTTAGATCCTGGTTTAGACCTGGTTTAGACCTTGTTTAGATCCTGGTTTCAGACCTGGTTTAGACCTGGTTTAGACCTGGTTTAGACCTGGTTTAGACCTGGTTCAGACCTGGTTTAGACCTGGTTTAGATCTGGTTTAGACCTGGTTCAGACCTGGTTTAGACCTGGTTTAGAGACAGGAGCACAGCGGAGTTTTGGAGTTCCCAGTTCGGTTCAACGGTGACTTTTATTTTCACGTTTATGGCCATTGAAATCAGAAATGACAGTCGAGATAAAAGCGCAATATTCCCTTTCTCTTCCTCATCTCTTCATCCTCCTCTTCTTTTTCATTCTCTCTCTCTCCCTTTTTCTTCTATCCCTCCATCCTGAACAACAAGCAGGATGAGAGTCGGGTTTGTGGAGATGCGAGCCCACTCACAGCAAAGACGCATGTTTTTCAGAGCAATCAGAACATCTAAAATAAAATGAAGCTTTTATTTTAGGCTATTTTTCGCTAAAAGGTTCCACAGTGAGGCTTTAGTCCTACACTGTCAGTTTCAACCTTTTCCTCGTTCTCGTTCTTAGTTCTGGTTCGGTTCAGTGGAGACTTTTACACCCGGTGGACACTGACTGCAGATGCGGGTCCTGACAGACTTAGGCTACGTTCAGACTGCAGGGCTTAATGCTCAGTTCGGATTTTTTTGTGAAATAAGATTTTTTTGCAAGGTCGTTCACATTTCCAGTTAAATGTGACTTGTATGTGATCTCCAGTGTGAACTTTAAATGCCCCAAAAGTGTCCCCCATGTGCACTGGAGGACATGATGACATCACGAAGCGAGCGTGTTCTGTGTTTACAGATGTCGCCTAAACATGGACACGAGCATTGAGCACCAGAGTCCTGCACGGGTCCATTCGCCCATTAACCCATGATTAAATCAAAGTTAAACCTGCACCCGCCTGGACTTGTAAACCTTCCACCTGTTACCTGCCCGTGCCCGCGATAAATCACACACAAATTAAAAGCTTTCTAACTGAAGTATCCAATCAGAAGTTGAAACGTTACGACTTCAAGAATTACGATCACGAAATGAAATGAAACACTTACACTTTCTTCAGTACGACTAAGAATTCACAGACGCGACTTTACTGTCATCACTCCACAGGCATTACTTACTGAGCAGAAGAAACACTGATCGAGATGCCGGACTTTTGTGCCACACATGCCACGGACTGAATCAGGACTAAACCAGGACTAACCCAGGACAAACCCAGGACTGATTCCAGGACTGTACTGGGAGGACTAAACCAGGACTAAACCAGAACCAGTAGGTGGGATGAATGTGACCTGGCCGTTCAGACTGAAGTCTCATGTCAAAAGATCAGATATGTATCAGTTTTAGGAGCACATATCCAAGTGACCCGGGTCACATTTGAAAACTTTGGATCTGTGTGGTTCAGACTGTTTTTAAAAGATCAAATACAGGAGCACAGGGGTGAGAAAATCGGATTTGGGTCACTTCAGGCTGCAGTCTGAACGTGGCCTTATAAAGTCATTAAAATCAGTAGCATTGGCACACTGACCTCGATGTGGGTGCTGGTGGGGCCTGCGGAAAGAATCCACAAAAAGTCTATTTTTGCCGGACACAGCAGTGGTCTCTGATATCAAGCTGAAAAAAAAATCATATGAGCAAAACAGGAAATCAGACGCACAGAACTGACAGACCCGGTGTATTTTCTGATTAAATTATCTCTGGTTACAGAAGTGAATCTGGAGTCAGGCTCTAGATTATGAATAGGATCTTTTGACGGACAAAATAGTAAAAAAAAAAAAAAGCGCACCAAGATCATGTAGAGCAGGTTAATACGAACATTTTAAGACGATAAAATGACGAGGCTCACAGCAGCAGTTACAGAGAGAGGAGCCACAATATTGTAATGTAAATCAATGGGAGCCAGAGTCAGAAGGAGCTGGAAGAGCCACATGCGAATTTCCTATTTGGAATGCAGCGGGAAGTACATCTATGTATGTACATGTCTATGCTGCACACTCTGTCACAAACTTACTTACCCACTGCAGACAGCCACAGAGTACAGAAGCTCGAGAAAGTGGTCGTCGTGTGAAACGCTGCTGTTGTTTCCCAAAACGTTTCTTGAATCCTCTTGAGCGTGTGGTCTCAGGAGTGCAGTTTCCACACTGTTCTCGCAGCCCGCCGCCATCACACAGCAGCAGAGAGGTCACAGTCAGTGAGGGACAAGACGCAGTAAAACCACAACTAAAACCGAACCGCACCCGAGCATCACCGAACCCGAATCAAACCTGAACCGCACCAAACCCGAAATGCACCAAACCTGAACCACAGCGAACCTGAACCACACTGAACCTCAATGAACCTGAACCGAACCGTACCTGAGCGTCACCGAACCCCCCAACCTGAACCACACCAAACCCGAACCACACCAAACCCAAACCACACAGCACCTGAACCGCACCGAACCACACCGAACACAAACCGCACCCGAACCTGAAACGCACCAAACCTGAACCGCACCCAAACCCGAACTGCATAGCACCTGAACCGCACTGAATCACACGGAACACAAACCACAGTGAACCTCAATGAACGCAAACCGCACTTAACCTGAACCACACCAGAACCGCAACAAACCTGAACCGCACAGCACCCGAACCGCACTGAACCTCAATGAACGTGAACCATACTGAACCTGAACCTCACCCAAACCCGAACCGCATAGCACCTGAACTGCACCGAACCACACCGAACCACAACAAACACAAACCACACTGAACCTCAATGAAATGAACCACATCGAACCCGAACTGCACTGAACCTCAATGAACGTGAACCACACTGAACCTGAACTACACCCTAACCACACCATACGCAAACCACACCGAACCTGAACCACACTGAACCTAAACCACACTGAACCGCACCGAACCTGAAATGCACCAAACCTGAACTGCACAGCACCCGAACCACACTGAACCTCAATGAACGTGAACCACACTGAACCTAAATCTCACCCAAACCTGAACCGCATAGCACCTGAACCGCACCGAACCACACTGAACCACACCGAACCCGAACCGCACTGAACCTCAATGAACATGAACCACACTGAACCTCAATGAACGTGAACAACACTGAACCTGAACCACACTGAACCTGAGCCACACTGAACCTGAGCCACACTGAACCTGAGCCACACTGAACCACACTGAACCTGAGCCACACTGAACCTGAACCACACTGAACCTGACCACACTGAACCACACTGAACCTGAGCCACACTGAACCACACTGAACCTGAGCCACACTGAACCACACTGAACCTAAACCACACTGAACCGCACCGAACCTGACCCGCACCGAACCTGAAATGCACTAAACCTGAACCGCACAGCACCCGAACTGCACTGAACCTCAATGAACGTAAACCACACTGAACCTGAACCTCGCCCAAACCCGAACCGCATAGCACCTGAAACGCACCAAACCCGAACCACAACGAACCTGAACTGCACTGAACCCGAAATGCACCGCATCAAACATGAACCTCACCTGAACCTCACCTGAACTGCACCTGAACCACACCTATACCGCAACTCACCAAACCCGAACTTCACCGAACTTGAACCTCACCAAACCGGAACCGTACCAGAACCGCACCTGGACCGTACCAACTTGCAGTCAGTGTTCACCGGAGGTTATTTTCACATTTATGGACAATAAAATCTTCTCTGACGAGCCAGTCTCTAAATTCTCTTCATCCACCTGCTCATTTGTGTTTGCATCATATTCCTGCCTGGAATGTTCCACAGTTTAGCTTTAATCACGTTTATCTATTTTGTGTGTGTTCAATTACAGGTGTTTTTATTGCTCCTTGAAAGTACCTTGAAAAACTGTGCTCGGCGTCGCCTCTCCGCAGACCTGATCTGCTTATCCCCACGGAAACAGATTTAGAATAGTTTAATGCCCCACTGTGGGACATTCTAAGCAGAAAAGTTACATATTTGAACTTTAAATGAGAAATGTACGTGAAATAACCAGACGCTGCATTTTATTGTAATTTATTGTACTGTTAAGAAAAACTTTAAGTGCTTTATTTTGTCTTTTTTATACACGAGTTGTAATTAATTTAAACGTAAAAATTGTAATTTAGTT